TTTCTTATCCTGGGCTGGATCTGTGACGGCAGCCGACAGTGGGATTTAGCCGGCTGTCGGCTGAAGACAGGTCACATTAGTGAATAACTAACTTCATCCTGTGCCCCACAGAAGAAGTTTAGCCAAAAAAAGTTTTGGCTATACTTCTCCTTTTAAAAGGAATTCCCATCCTTCAGCGTTTATAAATTGATGTGCTTATGTATTGCCTACATTCTTCCATTTCTGGTAGGTTTTGGGGTATAATCTTGGGTAAAAAGATTGGTTTTATAGGATAGGAAAGAACAGTGATGACCAGGATGTTGTTGACTTATTAGTGTGAAAATTGTTCCATTATTATTATACAGTGTTTATATAGCGCCAAAAGGTTTGCTCAGCGTTGTACATTAAAGTGGGGGGACAGTACATGAGACAATACAGTAACAATACAAGGGTTTCGAGGGCCCTGCTCTTTTGAGCTTACAATCTAGGAAGGAGGGGGCAGAGGTACAGGAGGAAGTGGCAGTGGGGGATGGAGTGGTAGGAGGAGTGGAGGAGAACGGCTGTTAGGTGAGGGTGGGGTAGGCTTCCCTGAAGAGAAGGGTTTTCAGGGTGCGCCTGAAGGTGAGGAGGGTAGGTGACAGTCTGATGGATTGGGGTAGGGAGTTCCAGAGGATGGGGGAAGTCCTGCTCGGGCGTGGGAGGAGGAGACCAGGTAGCTAGAGAGTAGGAGGTCTTGTGAGGAGCGAAGGGCACGGGTAGGGTGGTATTTGGGTATCAGGTCAGTGAGGTAGTTTCGGGCAGCGTTATGAATGGCTTTGTATGTCATAGTTAGTAATTTGAATTTAATGCGTTGGGCAATCAGGAGCCAGTGAAGGGATTGGCACAGGGGGGTGGCAGAAGTGGAGCGGTTGGTGAGGTGGATGAGTCTAGCCACTGAGTTCAGGATAGACTGGAGTGGGGATAGCGTGTGTTTGGGTATGCCGGTGAGAAGGGAGTTGCAGTAGTTCTAGGCGTGAGATAAGGGAGTGTACGAGTTGTTTAGTGGTGTCTGGGGTGAGGAACATCCGTATCTTGGAGATGTTGCGGAGGTGGAGCCTGCATGAATTTGATATTGATTGGACATGAGGTTGGAAGGAAAGGTTTGAGTCCAGGGTGACACCTAGGACTTTGGCGTGTGGGGTGGGCTTGATGGTGGCGTTGTTAGTCGTGATGGGGGGGTGCGGGCTGGGGGGAAAACTAGGAGCTTGGTTTTGGAAAGGTTTAACTTGAGGAAATGGATCGACTTCCAGCCTGATATGTCGTTTTAGGAGGTGGGCGATGTGGGTGGAGAGCGAGGGGGTGAGGTGAGGGGTGGAGAGGTAAATTTTGTGTGTCATCGGCATAGAGGTGATAGTTGAAGCCGTGGGAGTGTATCAGTTTTCCAAGGGAGGAGGTGTAGATGGAGAAGAGAAGGGGCCGGAGGACAGAGCCTTGGGGGACCCTAACAGAGAGGGGGAGAGAAGGGGAGGTGGTAGCGTTATAGGTAACGCTGCAGGAGCATTGGGATAGGTAAGAGGAGAACCAGGAGAGAGCAGAGTCCCTGATGCCAAGGGAGTGTAGTTTATTAAGGAGGAGGGGGTGGTCGACTGTGTCAAAGGCCACGGAGAGGTTGAGGAGTAGGAGGACTGAGTAGTGGCCATTAGCTTTGGCGGTTAGCAGGTCGTTATGGATTTTAAGTAGGGCGGTTTCGGTGGAGTGTAGGGGACGGAAGCCAGACTGTAGTGGATCAAGGAGGTTGTTGTCAGTGAGGTGGGCGCTTAGGCGTTTGTAGACTAAACGCTCAAGAAGCTTGGAAGTGCGTGGCAGCAGGGAGATGGGTCTAAGGTTGTTCAGGTCAGTGGGGTCCAGGGAGGATTTTTTGAGTATGGGGGTGAATTGACCTTCATGGGGCTTGTCTACCTTTTTGAATCTGGCCTCAGGAGACACCCCCAGAGAAATCTATGGGGCTGTAATGCTTGGGTTTAGCTAGGGGAGAGAGGACTGGCACTGGATGTAAACAGTCCCCAGAGGCATCAACCTTGGATTTTGATAAGTACATAGCTGTGGAGGGGAAGGATGGGATGAAGATCAATTAGGGGAGGGGAAAAAGGGGGAAAAGGACAAGATTACTTTCTTCTAAAGCCTAAGTTTAGTCAAAGAGAGAGTATGCCTCCCCTTTGGCCCAGCTCCTCCCTTCTTAGAAGCCGTACTTCTGATACATTAAATTAAATGTGGTCTGCGAATGGAGGAGGAGCAGATGATTGAAAGGTCCGCTCCATACATTCCTTTATCACGTTTCAGTCATAGAAGGTGTAGTACCTGCTTCTATGAATGGAGGACCTGGGCAGAAAGGGAGGGTATAGTTAAGCACTCACAGGCTATTTTCTTTTGTTCACCCATGGGTTTTAACGAAAAAAATAGCTTGAATTCCTCCTGGAGCACTATCATGTTCCATTGGCTGGGAGCGAGGAGCATTCCCCCACCGGCAGAATACAATGATCACTGCTGGTGGCTATAGCTGCTGGCAGTGATTGGATGAAAAAAACCTGAAAGGCTGGTTGTGATGAAGTCGATAGATGGATTTACTTCAGTACAACCAGCCTGCTTACTGACGAATCGAAATTAAGATGGTTCCTGCTAAACCAGCCAAATTTCGATCCGTCTATGGCCGGTTAATGAGTACAGTAGGTTGTGTTTTTTTTTTTGTATTTTTTTTTTTTATCTTTGAAGATCTTTGAGAATGAATAACTTTACATTAAAAGCAATCTAGTTTCTTTGCATATCTCATTCAAACCTGAGTGATTTTGTAGATTGAAGCTCAAAGCTTCAAAATGCTCAAAAGCCAAAATCCCAGGCTTGTAAACTGTGTATTTTCCCACATGAGTGCTCAGGCTCCCGTAGCTTCACTCTTAAAGTTCAAAAAGGTACATGAGCTACTTTTGAAGCAGAGTGGGATGTTTTTGGCCCCAATTACTTCAATGGGAGCGCATGCAAAAATGCCTGAAAAGTAGCATTTTAAAGCCTAAACAATTTTCTTCAACTTTTAGTAACTTGCTTTCCCTTGGCTATAAAAAAATGCTCAAGCCTAAATACACCTGAGAAAACACACTAAATGCACCGGAGAAAAACACTCAAAAATGGCTTGTACACAGATGTAAATGCAGCCACAAATTCACTGTTTCAGTAAGCCTACAAATGAATGAGAAAAGAAAACCACCTCTTAGATACACAGATTATCTGCTTAGAGGCTTGCACAGGCTTTTACTTGTAGGTTTTATCTCACTTTTCCCCAAATCACATTGGCTTTCTAGTTTGCTTATAAGACACCATTGGTACCTGGTCTGTTCCACTTTACACTGCGATTCCATCCCTGTGTTATGCCCCTTTCACACAGACAGGCTGATCGGGTAAGCCTGTCCGTTTTCAGCCAGACCCAATTGGACTATGTGTTGTTCTCTATGGAGAGGTGGATGCAAATGGACATGTGTCAATAGAAATACATAGAGCATCTGATCAGGTCCGCCTGAAAAACTGACAGGTGGACCTGATCGGATATACACTATAGTGGTTAACTGTCTGCAGAGTCCATAGCTAAAAACCTCCAAACTTCATGCGACCTTCAGATTAGGACATTCGTGCATAGAAAGCTTCGTGGAATGGGTTTCCATGGCTGAGCAGCTGCATCCAAGCCTTACATTACCAAGTGCAATGCAAAGTCTTGGATGCAGTGGTGTAAAGCATGCCGCCACTGGACTCTAGAGCAGCTGAGATGTATTCTCTGGAGTGATGAATCACGCTTCTCTGCATGGCAAACCGATGGATGTGTCTGGCTTTGTCAGTTGTCAGAAGAATGGTACTTGTCTGACTGCATTGTGCTAAGAGTAAAGTTTGATGGAGGGGGGATTATGGTGTGGGGTTGTTTTTCAGGGGTTGGCCTTGGCCCTTAGTTCCAGTGAAAGGAACGCTTAAGGCGTCAGCATACCAAGACATTGTGGACAGTTTCATGCTCCCAACTTTGTGGGAACAGTTTGGGGATGGCCCAACATGATTGCACACCGGTGCACAAAGCAAGGTCCATGAAGACATGGATGAGCAAGTTTGGGATAGAGGAACTTGACTGGCCTGCACAGAGTCCTGACCTCAACCCAATAGAACACCTTTGGTATGAATTAGAGCAGAGACTGCGAGCCAGGCCTTCTCATCTGACATCAGTGCCTGACCTCACAAATGTGCTTCTGGAAGAATGGTCAAACATTCCCATAGACACACTCCTAAACCTTGTGGACGGCCTTTCCAGAAGAGTTTTAGCTGTTCTATTGCTGCAAAGGGTGAGACCAATTCAATATTGAACCCTACGGACTAAGACTGGGATGCCATTAAAGTTCATGTGTGTGTAAAGGCAGGCCGACCAATACTTTTGGCAATATAGTGTATTCTAATTGGTTGTATACATTGGAAGTGAAACATCGGGCAATCTGTAATCCTGTGAAAAGGCAAAACTTTTCTCAGAAACTCATTTATATATATATATATATATATATATTATTTTCATTTTTTGTTGACTGACAAGAAACTACTGATAATACTGTACTCATCTGAACAGGCTGATTCCAGTTAGCCCTGGTTGGAAGTGATTAGTAAGTGTGTGGTACAGGAATGGAAGTAAAAGAGCTCTAGGAGGACTGATGTGTGTTTTTTGTGTGTTTGTGTTTTTTCACAGTCAGCATACATAACTGTCTGTCTATGCTGCCCAGATGTTCATAAAATATATTTACTATTGGACGGCTGCTGTAGATGGGGGAGGGAGAACAGGATCCCTCTTTTGTCTGTCATTTCCAAGGAATTCCAAATATTAGGGACGTTTAATGTCTGTCAGAATCCCTGCAGTCTTATGTGAGATTCCAAATAAGGAAGATATGACCACGCGATGTGAGCAGGAGCCTCGGCATCATGTGCGTGGTTTAAACTGAAATCCTTTTACCTTTTTGACCCTTCCGATGTAGGGCAGGAATAGATGACGTGCCGTGCTGAAAGTGTTTACTGATGCAAGAGTGGTGGAGTTCCATTGGATCGCAGTGATTATTTGAAAGGTGAGAGGGCGGGGAGTAGATTCTGAATTTATCCTGTAGTGTTCTGGTGGAGTGGTATCAGACAGAGTCCAGAACGGCCTTTCTACATGTGTTCTCCGAAGAGCAGCCAACCTTCCAGCAGGTACTCATTGCATTTTCCTTCTGTTTTATGTCTGGATACAGTATATGCTGATTCATATAGAGGGAAAGCTAGTGGTACAGATGGTGGAGTATATGTAGCCGCTTTCAGATGTAGCTGTCATTTATAGTACATGAATGTAAATTGTCTTGAAGTAACTACAAGAGCTGTCATTGCTGACCTCCTCCTGAAAATGTTGCCTGATTGTTACTTTTTTAGTTGCTGACCTGAACTAAATGTGCACATCTGTAATGCCTCTTTTGCATGGATGCCATAAAACGCCACTTTTTTTTTTTTTTTTTTTTTTTTTTTTTTTTGCATTAAGGTGTTTTCATTTTGCTGATATAAATGCAGCCCCTTGTTTCTAATGGGTCTGTACACACGTGTGTAAACTTGCACTGCATATAGATCCGTAAAATAAAAAAAACTACAAAAATCTGCGTTGTTAGACAGTATTTTTTGCATGTACAACACACTTCAAGAAAACCTAGAAAACATTTTTTTTTTCGTGTGTGTTCAAATGCGTGCATTTACTATTCAACCTATCCCTGTGTTTTTACACAGACATTTTCTGCCAGGAATTTGATATTATTATTATTAGAGGTATTTGTATAGCGCCGTCAATTTATGCAGCGCTTTACATATATTGTACATTCACATCAGTCCCTAACCCTCAATCTTAAGTCCCTATCTCACATTCATAAATACACATACTAGGGATAATTTAGACAGGGTCCAATTAACCTACCAGCATGTCTTCGGAGTGTGGCAGGAAACGGGAGTACCCGGAGGAAACCCATGCAGGCACAGGGAGAACATGCAAACACCAGGCAGGTGGTGTCATGGGTGGGATATGTTCATACATTAGTACTGTATGCAAGTACCCTAAAGTCAGAGAAATTTCTGAAGTTCTTATCTGCATTCTTGATCCTTGTCAGTGACTTGAAAGTATGGAAGCAAGAGAGTCTGCATGACAGCCAGGCATCTAGTCTTTTTCACCAGGCAAGATCAGCGATGACAGCCCTAATGCTTCCTTAAGGCTACGTTCACACTAGCATTGTGTGCAGGCGGCAGAGAGGCGTTTGGGAAGCGTTTTTACCGCTTCCCAAATGCCTCTGCCAATTCTGCACATTACAGCACATGGTGCTGTACTAACGGGAGCGTTTGCGTCACGGCAAAACGGACGTCTCTGGTTGAGTCAGGAGGCATTGAAGCCTTCTATTCTAGTCTATGGTGCCGCTCCGCAAACGCCCCGGCCGGCGTTTCCGGTGCGGTTGCGACGCGGTTTCAGGGCGTTTGCGGAGCGGTAACACCATTCAAACTGCATTGTAGGCATTTGTGGGGCGTTTTTAACGCTCGGCAAATGCCTAGCAACCTCCGCTAAACCGTGCATGCGGCGTGTTAAAAAACGCTCCGCAAACGCCAGGCCAACGCTTGCCAAACGCTATAGGGGCGTTTGGCAAGCGTTGGTAAAACAGCCCAGTGTGAACGAGCCCTTATGGTAACTATCTTTAAAATGAAGCTTGACGGTGGCAATGTTTGTAAAATGAACCATCCCGGATTACATTTTTTTTTTTTTTTTTATTTGCATTCTTTATTTAACCAACTTGCACACTGGAGACAAAACATTGATCACATAGATAGCAAGCCATTGGGTAACAGAGAATCAAACAAAAGTGTCAGTCGCAGTGAAATGTACAAAAAATACAAAAAAGGCATTACTCTTCCGCATATCAGAGAAATCTGGGCACAAAGAGTGTATGCCACAAATGGGCCTAAAAACAGAGGACATTTGGGGAAAATCTTTCACCAATGTCAGAGTAGATTTTATACAGTCTTTGATTGCCACACAAGTATCAGGTTTTCCTTAGATGAGATCTGTTAGATTAGCAAAATGTAATATAAATACCAAAGGCACAGTGCTAAATAAAGGTGAAACATATGTGAGTGCACAGTAAGAATTACCTTAAAGTGCTACTAAACCCACAACAGTAAAATCAGTCTCTATATGCAGTAAAGCATGCTTGTCATACTCATTGTGGAACCTAAGGGGTTAATCCTCTGCATTCTGTAAAATGCTGTTTGTTCCTGACTTCTCTGATCCCCCCCTTCTTCTAGTGTCCCCCTCTTATCTCCTAATAAGACCTATGTGGAGTCACTCTGCATATGCTCAGTTTGGTGTGTATTGCTGGAGATGTTTTTTTTTTTTTTTTTGGGAGAGTGCATGTGATCAGCACTGTCCAGACAGAGGTCAGGGGTTCTGCATCCTCTTACAGCAAACAAAACTCCTTCCTTCAAGCTTTAACCAGTACTCTGCTGGACACTGATAGAAGTCACAAGACTGCTCTAACTGCTGATGAGAAAAGATATTTAGCAGTTTATATTTACTGCAATAATTGCATTTCCATGTTGTGTGTACTGTGGGAGACCAGATATAGTGAATGCAGGTCCTGGGTTTAGTAACACTTTAACAATATATATATATAAAAAAAATCAGAATACTAACTTACATTTAAACATGGCGTACAAGTGAATTAATATTGTGCTTCACACAACAGACAATATGGGGTTTATTTACAAAAGCTGGAGAGTGCAAAATCAGGCTCATTTCTGCACAGAAACCAATCAGCTTCTAACTTCAGCTTGTTCAATTAAGCTTTGTCAATAAAACCTGGAAGCTGATTGGTTTCTGTGCAGAAGTGAGCCTGATTTTGCACTCTCCAGCTTTAGTAAATAAATCCATATGTGACTGTGAACACACGTAATTGACATTCAGCGGGACATACACAAAGCAATCTGTGATCAATCTTGGTGAGCATACAAAGTCCAGAAATGTGGTTTTTTTTTTTTTTTTTTTTTTTTTTTGTTTTTTGGTTTGTTTTTTTTTCCAAGATGCACACAACAATGTGCAGTGTAACATTCCACCTACAGGGCTTACAAATGGATTCCGTGCAGACAGGGGATGAGAAACGCACATACTGCTTACCAGAAATCCATGGCACTCTATTTACTGAGTAGCCATAAGTGGTTGTGGGATCCAATCCCTATTACACCAAAAGGCAGGAAAGCTCCAAACTGCTACCAGATTTCACTCTTAGATCATGGAGACCGAGAAGAAAAAACAAGTCTCATAATATAGTAGATAAATAAAAACGTCTTTAATAAAATAAGTATCACAAACACAATAAAACTCCTTGGCACCATAGATTAGAATAATGCTGCAGAATGAATCCGTCTCTATAGTCCGGCCAAGGGCTGCTAGGCATAATGACGTCTCCCTACGTGTCTCCCTACATATTTTGTCACACGATGACGTCATCAGGGGCGAGCCATGATTTTTTTAAATCTAATCTTAGATTAGCTAACTGTATCAGTCAATATGTAATGGGATGATGTTCCTTTTTGACTGCTAAGGACCTTCAATGTACGTCATTGCCTGTATCCTATCTAGGTAGTCAGTGACGTATAGTAAACAACATGCTGTCATGTTGCCAGCCCCATCACTGACTCAACAAAGATAAAACATTTTCATCAGGCCTTCATCTATCTGTTGCTGCTTACAAAAAGAGTGACATGCAATATGTTATACCCACAGCAGATTACTCAGCCAGCCACAAGACAAAATTAAATTCAGACTATAGGAAAGTATTAGATTCTGTGTCAGTGTTGCTCATTTTTTTTCTGTACCTTTTTTTTCTTTTTCTATTTTTTTATGACTACTGGACTTTTTCTGAACTCCTAGGGGGGCAATAACAAGCAACTCTGGTTGTTTGTACTTGTGGGTTTGATCCCTTCTCTAGTTACATTATCTCTCTCCTTGTCGCTCCCAAAGAAATTTCAACCTGTCTGTGGTCAACCTTTTGTAGGTGTTGGTCACCATTTTTTGGCCTTTTCAGGTAGAGTGTTGAAAGTGAAATCCTTAGTGCTAATTTTCTAGCCCTCGCCCAAAATTAATTTTATTTTGCTTCAGCTGTTGCACCAAGGTCTAAAGAGTAGATCCTGAGCAAAATTTCGATTTTTTGTTCCCCAAGCCACTTTTAGTTATCACTTTTGCCTTATGGCTTGGTGCTCTCATCTGGGGGATGCTGGGAAAGGCATTGTTTCGTCACCAAGCCAAACTGTTCTTGGATGGGCTGGCAGAAGTGACTCTCTTGGGAGAATGTGTTTTTTCTACCAATCTTTATTAATGGCTCTGTTCTTAGGCAAAATAGTGAGCCCACTCCCTTGGCTGAGATGCTTTACTGTTGGCATGACACAGGATTGTTGGTAGCGTTCACCTTTTTCCAGATGCCCCAAACAGTCTGAAAGGGGATTTATCAGAGAAAATGCCTTAACCCAGTCCTCAGCAGTCCAATCCCTGTACCTGTTGCAGAATATCAGTATTTCCCTGATGTTTTTCCTGGAGAAAAGTGGATTCTTTGCTGCCCTTCTTAACACCAGACCATCCTGCAAACGTCTTTGCCTTTCTGTGCTTGCAGAAGCACTCACACCTGCCTGCTGCCGTTCCTGAGCAAACTTTTCACTGGTGGTGTCCCGATCCCGCAGCTGCATCAACTTTAGGAGACGGTCCTGGTGCTTCCTGGACTTTCTTGGGCACCCTGAAGCTTTCTTCACAACAATTGAACTTCTCTGCATGAAGTTCTTGATGATCTGATAAATGGTTGATTTAGGTGCCATCTTAGTAACATCTTGCCCATGAATCCCGTTTCTGCAAAGCAATGATCACTGCACTTGTTTACTTGCAGGTAAATTAATAATTGTGTCATTTTCAAAACTTTTGGCCAGGGCTGTATATCATGCCATACCATTTGACCTGACAAAGCTTCGTTTGGCATACCCTACTGACAAAAGAGAAATCAGAGGATTGCTGCCTCAAAGTTAT